TCCTTGGTGCCTGGCACTCACACTCAAGTAACTGAGAGTGTGGACGAAAACCTCCCAGCACACACTACATCAGGAGGAGGCACTGCAAATCAATGTCTGCTAGGAACCCCCTTAATTTTCCAAAATTTTGATATGTGAAAAATTATTTTCAGGATTTAGTGGATTCTAGCTTATGGTAAAGAACAATAGCCAACAAATGAAAATATATTTTCAACTAAGTAAAGGTAAAGAGTGCCTACTATCCGTGAGATACAAGGGATATAAACCTAGGACAGGTTTATTGTCTTAGTCAGTTTTTACAATTTATTTACTGTCTGTTACACAGTAACCAATGTAAGTCAAACAACTTATTTATAAAAATGTTAATTGTAGAGAAGGAATAAAATGTTAATTTTATCAATAGTCTTCAAAGAAGCTATAAAATTATAGTTCATCACTCAGCTAATGTGAATGAACAAATGGGTATATTATAAGACCAGAACCTTTTCCAGAGATTACATAAGTAGCCAGCTGCTGGTTGGGGGCAGAAACCTTAGGACAGGTATCTAGAACTCAACCAGCTCATTACATCATAACCAGAACCTAATCACCCTGCCTCTCTTAGCAAATAGGAATGTCTGAAATTAAATGCATGCGTTACACTTCAATGACTCTTATTTCTGCTCAAGAGTGTCTTCTAATAATTTAGTTCAGCCCTCAGGTTCAATGAGGGATCCTTGACAATCGCTCACCAGGCTCCCGGGGCCTGGGAGAAGCAGCCCACTTTTTCCCCCATCTGCAAAATCGGGCCTGGCCTGCATCAGAGTTCGCTCGGATGCACTTGTACCCACCCCATCTCCATCAAAGGCAGCCCCAAAATCATGCTCTCCTGACTTCATGGTCTCCACCAGGTCAGCTGCATAGGTGAGGTTGGGGTCAGGGTGATGGCCTCCAAAATCCTCCAGAGGAACACAGTTAACTGCCGAGTTTGCAGGGGCGCCGAGTTCTTCACAGAGGATCTTCTTTACATACGGTCCCACAACTACA